GTTCTGGGGAGGTCGGAGGGTGATGCTGACAGTCAAACACCCCTTGCAGGAAGAGGGGCTTCCACACTTTCGTCCTGCGCCCGCACTGTGGTGAGGCTGGTCCCATCCACCACCTCGTGTCGGGGTTCATGGTCTCAGAGAACATCTCCCACGGGTTGTTGCTGCGGAAAGTGAGTGGGGACGGGGTGCCTGGGGGGGCTGGGGGTGTGTTAGGACCCCCCCCTTACCCTGCTGTGCCCCACAGGCCCCTGTGCTGCAGTACCTGTACTACCTGGCACAGATTGGCATCGCCATGTCCCCGCTGAGCAACAACAGCCTCTTCCTGAGCTACCACCGCAACCCCCTGCCCGAGTACCTCTCGCGGGGGCTCATGGTCTCCCTCTCCACCGATGATCCCCTGCAGTTCCACTTCACCAAGGTGAGCATGTGGAGGGGACACCAGGCAGTGACCCCCAGGAGGGGCTGTGGGGTGGGCACGGGCTGGGTGATGGGATGAGGCCAGTAGTGGGGTGGGGTTGGTGGTGAGGTGGGGCCACTGGCAGCACTGATGGATTCTGGAGGGTGCTGGTGGTGTAGAGGGGATGGGAGGAGGTGGGGACCCCCGTCCTGCCTGAGGGGTCTGTGTGGCGGGGGCTGAGGGGTGTCTGTCCCCAGGAGCCGCTGATGGAGGAGTACAGCATCGCCACCCAGGTGTGGAAGCTCAGCTCCTGCGACATGTGTGAGCTGGCCCGCAACAGCGTCCTTATGAGCGGCTTCTCCCACAAGGTGAGGCCATTCCCTCATTCCCAATTCTGCAGTTTGCCTATTCCTAATTCCCATTTGCCCCCATTTCCCCATTCCCCAATTCCCCCATTTGCCCAACCCCCTTCCCAATTCCCATTTGCCTCCATTCCCATCCCTAATGCCATTCACACCCAGTTGCCCATACCCAATTCCCATTCACACCCAGTTCCCCCATTCCCAATTCCCATTCACTCCCATTCTCCCATTCCCACTTCCCATTCACTCCCAGTTGCCCATTCCCCCATTCCCAAATTCCCATTCACTCCCAGTTCACCCATTCCCAATTTCCATCCACACCCAGTTCTCCCATTCCCACTTCCCATTCACTCCCAGTTGCCCATTCCCCCATTCCCAAATTCCCATTCACTCCCAGTTCCCCCACTGCCATTTGCCCATTCCCATTCCCCCTCCACGTGCACTGGGAGCGCTGGGGCAGCCACGGGGCCCTGTCCCACCCCCCCAGGTGAAGAGCTACTGGCTGGGTCCCAACTACCTGAAGGAGGGTCCGGAGGGGAACGACATCCGCCGCACCAACGTTCCCGACATCCGCGTCAGCTACCGCTTCGAGACGCTGTGCCAGGAGCTGACGCTCATCACGCAGGCGGTGCAGAGCGCCGAGCTGGAGCCCATCCAGGAGGAGGACGTGCTCACCATCTCCCTCGGCACCCACTGACCCCCCGAGCCCCCCAGGGCTCCGCCGCCGTCTCCCCACCCGCTGCCTCCTGCCCGGGCAAGGGGCTGCTCCTGCTGCTGTCCTGGTGCCGCTGCAGGGCACGGAGTTTGTTGAGTCCTCTCCGTTTCATCTTGGTTTGGTCATTTTATGAGTGGGTTTTTTTGTCTTTTTCTGTTGTTTTTAACTGGTGTCTCCTTGCTGGCTTGGGCCCTGCTGGGCTTGAAGGCACGAGGAGGTGACACAGGGGAGGGCACAGCCAGGGGGTCGTGGATTTACATCCCAAGCTGAGGGTGCAGTGACAAGTCGGGGGTCCTGGGTGCTGCTGTGGTGACAGTGTGGGAGTCCCAGCCCAGCCCCACCTGGGTCCTGATGCTCTTTAACCCCGGTGCCCTCTCAGCCTGCTCTTCCACCCCGTGGGGACAACCAGAGGAACCCAGACCTGAGGTCTCTGGTGTCGGTGGGGACACAGTGACCCAGAGGACGGGGGGATGGTGCCTGGTGGGGGATGCTCCCTCCTCATCACCACAGGGAGGAAGGCAAGGGGTGGGATGGGGAATGTTTCATCCTCACCACCTCAGGGATGAAGGGGAAGGGGTCCAGGTGACGTGTGTCCCTGTCCCCAACACTCCCAGGAGGTGTTTGTGGCCTAGATGGGGCTGGACCAGGCTTCTCCCATCCCGGTGGGGCATCACCCCCTGTATCCCTGCAGTCTCCCATCCCGGTGCTGCTCATCTGCATCTGGAGCCAGCATTCCTGGGAAAACCTAATGGCGACTATAAAAACAACAAAGTTTTGAGGAAAAAAACCTAACCGAGCATGAAAAATAAAAGTATTTAAGTAAAACACTGGAGTTGAAGTGAGGGGAGGGAGGGAGCGCAGCCCCGGAGGGAAACTGAGGCACAGAAGGGGTTTGTGTCCCCTCACGCCTTGGGTTTGGGGGTCCCCAAGGTGCTGTGGGAGGGTCAGGGGCGGATTCCGAGCGGCGGTGGCAGTTCCAGCGCTGGCAGGACGCCCTGGCACCCTGCCTGCAGCCGCTGACGCCAGGGGGAGGGGACAGGGGAGGGTCCTGTTCCGGTCCGTCCCGCTCCGTCCTGCTCCGTCCCGGTCCGTCCCGGTCCGTGTTCTCGCAGAGCCTCAGCAGCTGTCACCATGGTGGTCACACTGGGGTACTGGGACATCCGTGGGGTGAGTGGCACCGAGGGGTGACAGTGGCACGCTGGGGACGGGGGTGGGCACGGGGATGAGGGTGCTGGGGGTCCCAGAGCAATGTGGGGGTGCTGGGGGTCTCGCAGAGCCTCAGCAGCTGTCACCATGGTGGTCACACTGGGGTACTGGGACATCCGTGGGGTGAGTGGCACCGAGGGGTGACAGTGGCACGCTGGGGACGGGGGTGGGCACGGGGATGAGGGTGCTGGGGGTCCCAGAGCAATGTGGGGGTGCTGGGGGTCTCAGGGTG